GTATCAATCAGATTATTATACATCAGAGTTCCGTTTTTTTTCTTTTTTTTTTTCCTTTTTTTTTTAATCGGTATCCCCCCCATGCAAGGCAATAAAGTCACTAAGACACAATGGGTTACAGGATATGGAAGAATTAGAAACAAAAATATTGAAAATCAGCGAGATGTGGAAAGAGTAAACAGGAGAACAGTAGATAGCGATTAGCGTTGCGTTTTAATGTATGCTGATTAAAATTGGCTGAAAAACATAAGAGCAGATGGGAATTTCACAATAGAGAATTGCGAGAAAAGAAACAGCATAAAATTTGCGGTTACATCTCGGTGCCAGTCTATTACTGCGCTCAAATTCAAAAAGACTAGGTACCATAGTAAAGTGCTCATCCGAACAATTACCATGAATGCATTTATAGACTTCGATTGAACCTGAACAGGTGAATGGATAGTGGAACAATCAGTCTCCCGTAGATCATATAAGGATCTGTTGTAGCATACCTAAGGACGATAGTGGCTCTGTCCCAATCAACATAAATAGAGTAGTAAGTACTGTATTTTGGTATGCAGTCAGAGATTCGTCTCCAACTGTACTGGTCAAACTCTCTGCTTCCAGGCAGAGAGAATCCCCAGCCGAAGCTATGTCAAAGGGCAGAGTCTCGTCTCGGGAAACAGCTAGGCGATCCCGTTTTATACAGAGTCTACAGGAAATGTTTGTCCGAGCATATGGGCTCGGATACCCCACATAAAATTCGGCCTTGTGCCACACCTGACCACGTGGGATGGTTGGTAGATATCCTGTAGTTGAAGATTCGTCTCCGGTTGAGCTTATCAAACTCTCTGCCTCCGGGCAAAGAGGATCCCCAGATGTTTCTTTCCCGAAAGGCTGAGTCTAGTCTCGAGAAACAGCCACCCTATTTATTTTTACGGAGTCTACGAGGAAATTTTTGGCCGAGCCTACGGGCTCAGATACCCGTCATTAAATTCGGTCTTGTGCTACATCTGACCGCGTGGGGCGGTTGGTAGATATTCTGCAGTTGGAGATTCATTGTGGAATTCACTTGACTCACTTCGAACAGTTGAATACTTCTTCTAGGCGCTGCTGGCGTATCTTACATGTGCTGTTCTTGTCCTAATTATTATCGTTCATTACCAACATTCGTGTGATTATTCTATTCAGTAACCTTCTCTAGGTTACAACAGAATCCAGTTGGAAATTATTTGAGGAGTATTTAAATCGAATGTTTATTCAGATCAACAGATACTTGGAGAAGGCCGTTGGGCAAAACGGCCGAAACGTTGTAATAACAATAACAAAAACGAGGACGTAATAATGATAACTTCTCAATCCAAAAATTTCGACAGATATAATTATATATACGTTTGCATCTCTGTATGTATAGAATTTGTATAAGTGTAGCCTTACCTATTTACTGGTTAGCGATAACATTAGAACGAATTGAAATATTAACATGACATAATTGATATGAAAAGATGGTATTTCTATGTTTGAGGTATCAGTGTGTCAGTCAAGTTTTTCAGTGTCGAATGAGGACATTACATAACGTTGGCAAATTTTCAAGAGAAGTCGGTTGTAGTTGCATTTGAGGTCATCTTTGAACTGTCATATGCAAGTTTACCTGGAAAAATGCAGTTATTAATAAGAGTTTAAATTAATGCATGCAAGATTTCAAAGCCTTAGCATCGCTCCTTAATAATCAGTCTATGTACCTTTAGGCCAACCTTCGTAACTAGTTTGCGTTAATGGTTGCCAGAATAGTGATTAGGAAAGGTAGCAAAAACAGAAATCTTACTAAAATGGAAAAAGACTGGAAATTGTGGAGAGCGATGATCGCCTACGCACTGAAGAGACAATGCATAGAATAATAATAATAATAATAATAATAATAATTTTCTCTATTTCATTTATGCATATCTGGACTATCTGCAGTATTCATTATTTCTCTCTCTGCATATTATTCATTGAGACATTCATTATTTACCAGCCTCAATTCGTTTTTACTTTTTCTGTTTAATGTTATATATCCTCTTCGAGTCTTTGGCATTTCTTGTTTTATTTTCATAATGAGAAATATTTTGTGTGGTATTAACTTCTGCTTTTTTTTTTTCTTGTCTCATTTTCATTGAAATGTCGCTGGAGTTTCTCTTAATGTGTTCCAAATTAAATTACAATTCTTGTCCAAGCTATTATATTTGCTATAACCACATCGGTATAGGTCGCTTTGCATTTCGGCTCATTCAGGAGTCTATAGTATTCTAGTTTAGGCATTGTTGGTGTTTTATTTCTGTGTTTTTAATTTCTTTACATATGACCGAGCGATGATCGCTGACACAGTGAACTCTTGGATGGGTTATAGATCGGTAAAATTAATTCCTGTAACATTTATTGATTGTTATATAATCGATCTGTTTCTCATTGTCAGGTTTTGGCGTCATGTGCCTTAGGTGCTATTGAATCCGAAGCGTTTGCTTTTATTAGGCGCATCATGTATACAGCATAGATACCATTGCAAGTGTAATTTTGGAATCTGTCTTAATCAGTAAGGAAACAAAAACAGGTGAATATAAGTTTCTTGAACAAATAACGATGAAGGTGGGCTTGGAAAAATAATCAACGCAATTCATATCGAGGGCAACAAAGATAGGGACTGACAAGGCAGCGAGTCACTTGCCTGACGAACTTTTGTGAATGAATGGCGTGACGGAGGGTTCTAACCTTAACAAAGGGTGAAAACTGCTGAGAGACATACGAGAAAGATTTGGAGAGCCATGACCGCCTGTGCATTGAAAGAACATGGCACATAAAAGAAGAAATTTACAATAATCCATGCAAGTTTTCACAGATTCAGCATCACTTCTTCATAATCAGCCTGTAAACCTTTAGGTCAACCCTTGTCACTACATTGCGTAAATGTTTGCCAAAACAGTGATTAGTTATGATAGGAAAAGGACAAATTTACTAAGAGCTACAAAAGATAGGAAATTGTGGAGAACCATGATTGCCTACGCTCAGCAGGGACAACACATAGAAGAAGAAGACGAAAAAGAAGAAGAAGAAGAAGAAATGGGAAGTAAACGAAACAGAATAGTAAAAAGAAGGGAAAAGAGAAAAAAAGATGAGGAGGCTTCTACTTAATACCAGGAAGAGGCAACTGACGTTTCTGGGACACATAATGAGGAAGGAGGGCCTGGAGAATCTCATACTCATGTGTCGAATAGAGAGAAAGAGAGACAAGGGAAAACAACGCGGGACATACCTGGCTGCCTTAAGCAAGTGACCGACAGAACGTGGTTTTGGAGAGGAAGCAGAGGGAAGGAAGTAGTTGAGAGCTGCAAGGGATAGAGGAAGAGGTGGAGAGCCATGATCGCCTACGTTCTAAAAAGAGATAGCACATCAAAAGAAAAGAGATTTACAAAATTTGAATGCACTTCAAATAATAATAATAATAATATTAAGAAGAAGAAGAAGTAAATGACAAGTAGTGATTGGATCATGTCCCCATTCGACATAGTGAAGAACTTGACTGACACACTGATTCACTGATGACTTGACTGACACTGATGAAATGCAGTCGAATGTAAACTACATATAATCATAATCAGAATGCTTCTAGCTTACGCCTTCAAATTGGTCAATCATGAGAGAGTTATCCGAAGATAAAGTTTTAATTTCAGAACTATCTGTAAAGATTGCATGGAAAGGTGATGGACGTTTTTGTCGAAATACTCTGGTGTTTGTCAGTGCAAATGTGGTTACTCCAGATTCGTAATTTTGATGTGTTCATACATTCACAGAGAGGTACACTTAGCTGTCTGACCCGGAATCTGCGTCTCTTTACTTAAAGAATACCGGAAGATATGAAACGTTTCATTAAGGTCACATGCTGCGCATATAAAAGCGGCTGTTCGAGATCAAGACGACAATTTAATCCTCTTTAATGTCGATTGCTTTCAAATCAGTGATTTTCAGCGACTATCACAGTCAGTTAACTTTTATGATAACATTACACTAATATTAATCAGTTCTTGAGCTAAGCGTATACAGTAAATCGCGCTTTCGAAAAGTTATCCACCAGAGATAAAGAATGAGAAAATGGATTTAAACTAAACGAGCACTGAAATCTATCGGATTTTATATAAGTCTCCCTCGATTCAGATTTTCTATGTTAATCTCTTTACAAATTAAGCTAACAGTCCACTAGTTTTGGAATAGTATATATATATATATATATATATATATATATATATATATATATATATATATATATATGTGTGTGTGTGTGTGTGTATATATATATATATATATATGTGTGTGTGTGTGTGTGTGTGGTAGATATTTCGGATACTGGTTATATGTAAAATGAAAATATCATCTTTTTTTTCTTTGCTCAATTCTTCCACGTCTCAATCTTGTCTTTCACTTTCACTTTCACTTTCATTTTCATTTCCATTTTCACTCCTTGTAACCATATAGGCATTATTGCTATCCCTTCTTGCTTCAGGTGAAATGATTAAAAAAATTACGAATAAAGACAAAAGGAAGAATTAGTCGTCGCGTTTCGTCGTCTTAGGGACTTTAACAAGGTAACATTCGCTTTGATAAAATCCCTTAGAGAATAAAACGCGCCAGCTAAGTTTTTTTTCTTTATTCATTATACATACATGCTAAAGTGCTAACGGCAATATCACTTTGAAATATCGGTTTCATACTATCACCAAATTTAAGCAACCTCGAACCTATTGAGAACACCAAGTGCATTAAACTTGGATGTGCGTGTAGTGTAATAGATCAACTGTGATAATGACTAGATTTATCTTATTTTGTCCCAAGACACGTAACTCCTGAGAATCAAACTTACTCTGATTGATTCCAAACATCAGTCAGCTACCATTTTTGCCTGCAGACAATCATATTCAGTTCGTCTTTAAATAAAGATTTCTAGATTCAGAGTGTACTAAACATAGAAAGGGAGCTTACGATTACATAACGTTCAAACACTTGTTTCCGTAACATCACCGAAGTTAAGCAACATAGAGCCTGGCTAGTAATTAAATGGGTGAACATTTGTGAATACTAGGTGCTGAAA